TTCCTTTCCCCTGGAGCCATGACAAACCGAATATTCGCTGAGAAATATAGGGTACTGCACAAACTGCCACGGATTTAGCTGATAGGCTGAATCGGTCGCGATTGTCCGAATGATAGCATCACTTAGGAATATCGCATCAGTATGTTACGTGAGGCTCCCTTGTTCGGACAAAGACGTGAAAATCTGCATCTAATCAAAGGATAAAAGCCGTCGTCAATTCATAAACGCCTTACTCCAATTCACAGCTCCATCCTTTATATTGCGTCAAAAATGAGCTGGTCATCTGCACGTTGTGCCGACTCTTCGCAGTAAAAAAACTGTTTGTAAATGGAGAACCAAAATGATTCATTCCGTTGTTGAATTGGCGACGTAGCCAGCAATTAGTTTAGCACTTGAGAGCAAAACATTCACTGAACACTGTTCCGGAAGCAGCGAGCAGCCGCTTCTGTTTATTCGATGGTATTTTCCTCTCTAACTCGCTGATTACGAGTTAGCGCGCATGGAACGTATCGGGTTCCCTCTGGATACTTATCTGTAGTTGTATGCAACAAATAGTACATACATCCGTATCTGAATCCTAGATTTCGACGATACTAGTTTTCGTACGCGATGCCCATTTGGTTCTGTTGCATTCAATTTTGCAAATTGCCGGGTTAGTGTAACCATTGACACAGCACGCTTCCATAGGTCTGATCTAGAATTCACCTGTTCGCTAACCATTAAAAATCGGAGGATGTTTAAGCAATCATGTTGCAACCTGCCAAATTAGTGCGCCTAAAATACTTGTACAAACATTGGTGTGCATCCTACACGAATGAGCATATTGTGTAATGCAGTGCTAAGGGAATATGTGTGTGGGGTTGGGATCTAGTGATTCACGGCAGACCACTCTCTCTCTAGGCCACTGAGACCGATGAGCAATGTCTGGTACAACGGCCACAAAACCAGTGCCAAGTTTTGGAGTGGATCCCTAGAGTTTGGATTAAAACACTAAGTCCAGAGTTCTAATCTTATCTTCGGCTATCTTTACTCGAAGCGTCTAAACAAGACAAACCGTTTGTGGTGTGCAGTGTTGGGAACCAGGAAGACTGAAACCTCCACTTTGGTGACGGTGCCAGTGATCGCATTGGCAAAGGCTGACCTTAAAGTCAACCGATGCCACGAGTGAGATTGCGCGTCGCAATCCAAG